GTACTCCGGAGATCGTAAATAACAGCATAATATAAAATGTGTTCTGAATATGCTTATTCATGAACAACGACGACATCTCAACTTAAATGCAATATGGCTGAATTCCACATTCTACATACCACACTTTTGATTGTTTGGACGCTCATGTTCACTGGAAATATTTGGACTAGTTATATTCCGTATTTTGAATTAACCCAGTCTCCCGTGTTTTCTTTAATCAGTGCACCGCACATAGCCTCACGTGAAACGTTTGGTAGCAAAGTCAAAGCAAAATCGGAGTAGTGTGTCGGCGAATTTGCATCAAGGTTGTAGTATTTCGAACCGTTTAATGGAATTCAATGTACAGCCGTAGCTCTGGTCACTCATATATTTTGTGTCCCATGGCTCAAATCTATTTGCGTCTGTACCCTGTTCCACTGACCTCGATAATCTGTTGGATGAAGGCACAGCTGTCTACAGTCACATAGTTAACACCGAAGGCTATGAGGGGTATTTAGGTCATAATCAGCTCCCAGCAGCCACTGCCTCGAGCGATATTGTCTACATAACAGATCAGTTCTATGGCTCCGTCACAGGTAATTTAATGATGTCTCCATTGCAATGTTTACGGATTTTGATTCGTATGCATTATTTGACTCATCAGCGGAATGGTTTGGGTCAGACTGATCCGAATGGACAAGCGTTTTACTTCTGTTTAGTAGTATGGATGAATTGTTATGTTACATCTCAGCAGGTTATCAGGCGACTATGCTTGTCGTAAGAGGCGACAAACGGGATCGGGTAGTTAGACTTTGGTTGGTGCATGGCATCGATCCGAATTGCGAGGATCGATGCTCATGCTATTAATCACTGGATTGTCTGGTCCAGACTGGATTATTTACAGACCGCCGTCATATAGCTGGAATATTGTGAGTAGGGGAAGGCTCCTATGTGCCGTGTGCCGGGAGCCACAAGGAAGTGCCAGTAAGCGTGAACCCAGGGGAGAGTTAAGTTACATAGACTGGCGGCAAGTCTCCCTCGCCAGATCCTTTATTACGAGGCTGTAGAAATACGGGACGCCCCTAACTCACATCTGTCTCCAGAACTCTCACGCCGACTTCTTGAGATAATTAAAATATTTTTTCAATGTTCTGCACTTTTTAATATAAAAATGTATTTAGTGTTTGTCAGAAAAGTTAGTTACATAGTTTACTTAATCAATTCTGATTTATTTACGGTAGACGAATTTATATGACCATAGTGTTATTGCCAAGCCCTTCAGTCAATTCTAATTGATCCAGACTGCACAATATCGGGGGAAATCATCATTACATCTCTGTAGTGTTTTGGTACCGTTAACAAAGGCGAAAATATTGCATTAGTGTGTCGCATCATGTATGACGAACAATACACAATAAATTACTAAAAATACAACATCTGGCCGATTCAAATAACGGGGATTGCTGATTGTAACAACCTGTAAATACCTCCCATGGTAGGTGAGACGCCGTTTATGCTCCTGATTAGAATCGGTCGTCAGCAACCCATGCATGTCGTAAAAGGCGATTAACAGGATCGGGTTGTCAGGCTCGCTGACTTAGTTGATGTATGTCATCTTATTCCAATTGCGTAGATAGATGCTCATGATGTTAATCACTGGATTGTCTGGTGCAGGTTCGATTATTTACAGACGCCGTCATATAGCTAGAATACTGCTGAGTGCGGCGTTAAACAACAAACAAATCATCATTTATCACCATGCATTTGGTGAAGTCTACCGTAAGGACGAGCGCAGGATTCTCTGGAATGCTGAGAACACCGCAATCTATGTGTACAAAGCTTTGGAATTCCCTTTGCCTCCAACATTTGAGAGAATTACCCTATCGCATCAGCATTGCAATTGCACATTCATCCAATGGGCTTTTGACGTTCAATGTGTATTGTATAGTACAGTGGAATATCTGCTTCGGACTTCATTGCGTCATTGTTTTGACATCCAGGTGAAATGAACGTTTTACCTATCGTGGGGCCGAAAGTAAGTCTGATTGTTACAGAGGCCTGTGTTAGGAATATTATAGAAGTATTATTATGAATCATAGTATATTCGGCACCATTGATATCGCCTTGTATTACAAATGCTGATTAGTTAAAGTCCTGTCCCGACAGATTCCACTGTGCACGGTAATATTTGTAAATGTAATAGGTGTGAAGAAAATATGTCCATATTAGCGATAGGGTAGCTCAGTGTCTCAATCAACGCCGAAACTGTCGAGTTCGATTCCTTACATCGGGGTAATGTTTCGTTTGAAGCCCATTCTTGCAGCCCCCCGACGCCGTGATGTAGCCGTTGAAGCGTATAAAACCATACACATGCATTAAGTGCACACAAAGAACTCAAACTTTGGGGTACATGATAACAAAGACATTTATTCATAACAGAATAATAAACACATATAATATATCCATTGTAATAAAAAAGTGTGTTAGGTATACTTGCTTCAAATAGCTTCACCAGCAAATATTAACACACTCGGGATACTGTGACACTCAATCAACCGAGTCACCGAGTCCGACCACCCAGTCCACGTAAGTCGCCGCTTACGACAAGCACAGGTTACTTGAGGCAACGCCTACTTCTTTAGCACTCCCCATAGGGTCACATCAACATTTAAGGCCATTAATACATTTATATTTGTTATTCAACGCCGCACTCAGCAATATTCCAGCTAATGACCACGGGTCTGTAAATAATCGAGTCTACACCAGACAATCCAGTGATTGACATCGTGAGCATCGATCAAGCAAATGGTATACGATGATATGCATCCCGTTAGTCGTCTTTTACTACAAGCATGGGTTGCTGAAGACCAGTACATGTACTAACCCTCGCGTTCTTGGGGTCGTGATTACATAATTAAGAGAGTATTAGATATAAACACAGAGCAAGTAGTACAAATGACACAATTATTCAAATGAACAGTTCACTCATTCACGTTGCCCTAGCGACTGTCACTTCCGTCCATTACACATACGTATGGAAGTTCCTGCAGACGACACTGAACTGAACTTTATATACATTTGATGGCTAATGGTTGTGTTAGACTATATGTACAAACATATATCTACAAAATTGAAAATATGGAAAAGAGTAAACTAAGTGAAGAGCCTTTGACTTTAAGTGAAGTGATTCATGTATTAGGGGTGTTCTGTAAACGTCAGATCTGAGAATAAGTTTGTCGGCCTTTGACACAGTGCATGGGTTGCGTCTGTCTGGACCGCTTGAGTACTCAGCTCAATGATGCCCAGTTTGCCACTGGGTGCGTGAGTAGATCTCTTGTCCCCAACAGTGATAACTCACCGGATGCCTTTTGTGTAAGTTCTATTCTTTGAATGACATTGTTATAAACTTGTCACAGCTGCTGCTGCTTAATAAACCGTAAGGTGCAATATATAGTCCTTTGTATTGTATTTATATTCAGGTTGGTATTTCTGCTATCCAAAGTGTGCAGTGAGGCCTTCTTATTCTTTATAGTATCTTTGGAGACAAAAGTGCTAAGTTTATGAACACACAATGTCATTTTAGAAAGTGGTCATATGTAACAAATGTTATATTTTGGATGACACTTTCTTAGTAAAGTTCATAGCTTTCGGCCATGGGAGCTGTGCCAATTTACACTTGTCAGAACGGTACACAAAGTACGTGATCTAGACTACCAGTTGTCGTACTTCCATTTTTGCGTAAGCCTCGGTGGCTGAGTGGGTAATTATATAGGGACTCAACCAAACAAAGTGCGAGAATTTGTACTTTACTAAGAAAGTGTTGTCCCAAATATGACACTTGTTACATATGACCACTTTCTGAAATAACATTTGTGTTTTAATGTGTTGTTTCGTTTCGGTTGTTTTGCTTGTACATTCCAGGAAGTGGGCAGTGTTCCCATATTTATAATGTATTGATTACAATCTAGTAGTAAATAGGGTTCATACACGACTTTTATATTTAATTTAGTCCCATGAATTGCACACTACATGTTCTTAATTTGCTGCAATTTCGCGTATTTGTTCATTGGAATATTTAGCTCTCTTTCACTTATCCAGCCTTGTAATAAGTGGATAATTTGTCAATTGTTTTACGCTAATTTCTATTAAACAAGTTTTCTATGGCCTTCCACTAAGCACAAACATCAAATATTCAATATTCAAACAACATATCTTCTTAATGTCACTCACTCATTCACTCCAGTATCAACCTTTCACTCACTCTTATATCAACCCGGTCCTCATTTTTTGTAATAGATATACTCTTATGTACTCATAACGCTTTCTCTTAAATAAGCGCATATCCAATCTGTCATGAATCTGAAACAAAATAACGTACTAAAAGTTACACACATGACAACTGGACAAAATTGTAACTACATACGTGTATGAACAATTGGTTCAAAATCCATTTACAGCGTTGTTAGATGTGAGAAGAAATATACTACAAATAGGCCTATACATGCATGTATGTAGGAGAATTGCTCACAACTATGCGAGATGTTTATTTGCGCTTCTCAAAACTGTTAACCTGGCAAGCATGAAATATTTAAGTCAAATTTCGAGATAACGATATGTTATATCGTGTCTAATTAGACATATGCGGGTAAATTTATATGTATTTGTATAGGCGGTCGCGACCACAAACAAGGTTCGACATATCGGTACATTCGACAAAACACGGTTCGAGTATACATGTTGAAAATGCAAAAGTAGTATATTTACACAAAATGGTTTCAACGAAGTGACAGTCATTTAAGGATTACATGACTTCGACCTACATGACTTCGACCTGCATGACCTCGGCATTTTCTCTCCTCTTTAATATGCTGACAAATCCTTTCATTTATTATTGGTATACTGATATCCACGAACATCACACTCACTCACTCACTCACCCACTCAAGAATTACATACCTGTGTGCCTTGTTTCGAAATGCTTTCTAGCATGGTAGAAAATGAAATCTTCCACCACTTTGAGAAAATAGTCGTTCCTGAAAAATATATGAATCGAGTGACAGCAATTTTTGTGATGGCTGAAGCCTCATGTTTCTGTCACCCGTACAACCATTAGGACAGAACTATGTATTACAACTTACAATCATCAGTCACATACCTTGGACGTCCAAATTGTAGTACAACATCGGGTAGTATCAGATTTCTTTTTGTGATGTCATAAAGTCTGAAAATGCAAATTAAATAAATCACTACATCATTTCTGTATATTTGTTGGTAGTGTATAGCGTAAAACTATCGGTCAGTTGTGGAAACAAAGCTTATTCGTTCTTAATACGCGCTTGATTCTTATATAGTGATGACAAACAAACAGAAGCTTCTTGATTGAAAATTAAATATGTTCCTTAAGTTTATTTTATCCTATACTTACCTTGGACCTCTTGTCCTCGTCACCAAATGTGTCTCCATGGACTGCATCAGTATGGCATATCCCTGAAAGCAGTCATTCTATCATTAAGTCATGTCATGTACTCTCAGTATAAATTTACGTGTAAAAGTTTGGATCGAAAATATCTTCATATATGGGCATATCCTCTTTAGACAGAGGCCGGTTAGACAAATGTCACTGTAGTATGAACATACCGTTTATCTGTAAGCAAATTTAATATGTAACTCAGTATTTCTGTGTTGAGATGGTTATCAGTATTTCCAAACACTGGCAAATTAATAGGCGTTTTCAACATTCGTGAAGTCAAATTAGAGTAATATTTACAACAGCATTGAGGTGGGACATGGCTCTGCTCCTCTCCAGCTTCTTTCGTTGAAAATAAAGCACATGTCTCCTGAACTCTTCGGGTACTTCTTCTGTATCATTTGTTGGGTACCGGTACAGCCTGGGTACATCTTCATCAATTATCTTTTCCAACTAAAGGAACAAAACATTCCTAGTTATACCGTTTATCAAGTGTACACAGAAACATATTTATATAGTTACAAATCCAATGGAATAAAAACGTCATCAAAAATACGTTTTCATATTGTTATTCGTGACACATTTACTACAGTCTAGAGATTGGAAATTAACACTATCTATCTATCTATCTATCTATCTATCTATCTATCTATCATCTATCTATCTATCTATCTATCTATCTATATTGAAACTCACAAGTTGTTATGCCAATATAATTTTTACAACTGAAACTGTAGGTCAATATATATGAATGTTTATACCACATTTCGGAATTCTGATCGTTCCACAGTCCTCAGCTCCTCGAGATCATCAGCAAGTATGTTCACTTGTTGGTCACCATATTCCTTCATGTCTACTGCAGGAACCGCTATTTGTATTAAACAAACATATTCATACTTTGAGTTTATACCATGGGCATCTTTTTCTCTGTGTGTGTTTGTCTGTGTGCATGTGTGTGCGTGTTCGTGCGTGCGTGCATGTGTGTCTTAATTCTTATATGAGGTTGGTTTCTAAACAAATACTCACGCATGGCTTTTCTTGTCACTGTCGTCTTTTCGACACATTTTGTGCTGCAATAATATGTAGTAAATTAATAATTATCTCTAGTATTCCCTCTTTCGCAACAGTAAATGCAATTAGTAATTATTCTTTCTCCAATATATTTTAATTGCTGTATGATAACTGCCTGCAAACTTATGTAACTAGTCGATGTGTATCAAGCGACACAAGTATAGAAATTTATTATTCACAAACTTATGATATCGTCTTAATCGTATCATGTTTCAAGCAAAGATTTATTATGATTATTAAAATGTTTTCATATAAATCCAAAATGGCCGCCCTTTTTTCAAGCTGAATGATACCTTGGGTTTCCCCTAGGTCAAGCAACACGACATGTGCAAAGTTTGACTTCCTAATCGTGGGTGAAAAGTCATTGCCCTTGGAGGAGTTAATGGCGTTACTAGTGTCTGTAATACAAGGTGTTTGCTGTTTAACGTAGACTAACATTTAGTCTCTGAAATCTTATATTACACAATATCCTTCTTGACTCTAAAAATAAAAAAATCCCTATGCTGATTTCAGAGGAATAGAGCTATCTTTAGCTGGCTAGACTTGCTTTTGTATGCATTTCTAGATTATTATTTTTTCATAAAATAAATATATTCGACGGTCATGGTGCAGGACTATGTTTAACGCCGCACTCAGGAATATACCAGTTATATGACGGCGCCCTCTACATGATCGAGTGTGGACCAGACAATTCCGTGACTTAAGATAAGCAACGACTGACGCCTTCAACCAAGTCACTGAACTGCGGCATGACATCTCAGGGGGGCGGCTCTATGCTATCAAAGTCTGTTGCTGTTAGGAAGGAGTACTTGACTCTCATTTCAAAAGGCACTTGGGGGCACGGGTGGCCCAGTCGTCTTAGGCGCCGCGATTCGCTGTGCAGAGTTGCGTCCCTTAGGCACGCCAGAAACATATGATTGTGGGTTCGAATCCCGGTTCGCCCCAATTATGTTTCTAGGTTTGTCAGCACCATACCCGTGCTCGTGGGTTTCACCGAAGTGGTAAACGTCTGAGACCTGCATCACTTCGGGCTTTCCTCCCACATTAAGCTGACACGCCGCGATATAACTGGAATACTGTTAAAAGCGGCGTTAAACCCAACTCACTCACTCACTCACTCAAAAGGCACTTAAGGTTGTGAATAGTGTCAGTGGCAGCAAGTGAATGAGGCCCTCATAAAATCTTGAGCGCTCGGTAGTAGTCTTCACAGTCACTCCCGAGATAAACTACATCATTCCTGACATCCGACTTATGTACAAGGGCCTGTTACGTATTTAGTTGCCATATATTTGATCCATTGTATTGCCTTGTATGGTTGTGAATCTAATCCTGTATGTTTCAGTATAATGTATTGATTGTTAATTGATCTTGTGTGGTCATTAACTGATCTCATAATTTAGTTCTTTACGTACCGATTCCCGTGTTAGCCTCTGCGTTTTAACTTTGGAATCAACATATAACACTACGATACATGTTCAAACAAGTTTTTAGCAAGCGTCGTATGACGTCCTTTGAAATCTTGGTGGAAAGGGGATGCTCGATTGTACCTCGATTGTGAAATGTAGACACAAAAAGGTTGGCTGGAACACACGGGAAAAAACCCGGTAAAGTTGACTATTTGAAAGTTGAAATCATCCCTTTTGACATAAAGTCTTGTTGATATTTTCGTCTGAATTTGGGGGCATAAATCTAAATATGAAGGTTTCTTTGGTATCCTGCATTTCTAGTTCAGGTGGGTAAATCAGTGGAAGGGAGTTGGACTTTTTACCAAATCTGAAAGTTATCAGATCACCGATATACCTGAAGCTTACATTATGCCAATCTAGTGCCCAATGTAAAAAAATGAACATAATTTTGTCCCACGTGTGCACATATTTTAGACAGAAAACCCAAAGAACGATGATTGAGAGAATATTAATTGTGAAAGTCAGTCACTTGAAAACAGCTGTGACGTCATGTTTACCGTGTTACTATTCTGGGACTTCTGGTCTGTAGAACACGAAGACGTCATAATATTGGCGTTTTCCAAACATGCTTAATTTCCTCTATGTAAGGTCCGTTAGACTAATGATTACAGCGTATCTGTTTTCGAGTGAATGAGTGAATGAGTATTGTTCAGGAATTTTCCAACAAAATCTCTACGAAGGATGTCAAAAGGAGTTTGTGTGGATTCGAACCCAGAAATTCGGCGTGACCAACAAATGCTTTGACCGCTGGGCTATCCACCACCCGAATCTGCGCTAGATGATTTTTTCTTTTATATAGAAGTAATGTACATGTAAGTACCTTAATAATACAGACAATTGTTCAGCTTGAAGCAAACATAAGTGCATTGATCCCTAAATTCGGCAATCTTGTAAAAAGAGTAGAATGTGGATAATTTGTTACTGCTTTCATTATGTTGTTAAGATAACCAACCTTTATTAAAATTTCGAATCCAAAACCTATACATTTTGAATCAGAGGCGAGACGTTAATGTGACAGTGGTACTTATTATATCCAGCTTGGGGTGCTGTGAGGCCATGTTATTTTTACAAGCCCTCATCTTAAATCCTGCTATCACTGCTTTCACTACATTATAATTGTCTTACTCAGCTGGTCCTGACGGCAACCCTGACGAAACGTATGAATACTACGTGAACGACAGTGTGCACAGCAGTGTCGGCCACGCCTTCAAGATTTGCTGCAGAGCCAAGGCACCTTCTGTGCTGAAGGTGAGTTACTCAACATATTGGGGGCACGGGTGGCCCAGTCGTCTAAGGCGCCGCGATTCGCTGTGCAGAGTTGCGTCCCTTGGGCACGCCAGAAACCTATGATTGTGGGTTTGAATCCCATGTCGCCCCGATTATGTTTCTAGGTTTGTCAGCACCATACCCGTGCTCGTGGGTTTCAACAAAGTGGTAAACGTCTGAGACCTGCATCACTTCGGGCTTTCCTCCCACATTAAGCTGACACGCCGTGATAATACTGGAATACTGTTAAAAGCGGCGTGAAACACAACTCCCTCACTACTCAACATATTCGACGACTCTCTGTGCTGAAGATGAGTTATTCTACTATTGTATGGCCCTCTACGCTGAAGGTAAATAAAAGCGACAAAACCCCTTCAATATTCATAAGAACGATTCCGACAATATTAGGGGCATGTGTTTATGAATCACTATCATATAGGTGTGTGCGAAGAGGCGAGCGTATACCACTGGTTTCCCACCGGTGACACCCATCACCAACACATGCAAAGTCAAGTCAACAGTTCACCTGAAAAAATAAACGGGAACACATGGCACAAGTCCAAATAGGGAAATTGTGCCGGGCCATCAGTTGTGTCACTTTGGAAGTGTTCTCCGCGTATCTACCATAAAGCTTCTGAGCAAGAGTCTTTTGATGCTCTTTCTACCTCCAAAGTTGTAAAATGTAGCCACCAAGGGCTGGGGGTGCAGCAAAATTGCTCGACATTGAGGGAAGGTTAACTTGAAGTCATGTGGAGAGTGTTCTGTCACTTTAAAGTTTTGTGAACAGATCTAAATATGAAACAGATGAGGCTGCCTCACTGGTCTCCTTTGTGAACTACAGTAAACTACGTTTATAACGAACACGCTTATAACGAACTGACGGATATAACGAACTTACTTTTTTGTCCCGACTATTTGCTGTAGTTATGCTGTATATATGCTTATAACGAACTACGGTTATAACGAACTAAAATTCGTGGTCCCTTTGAGTTCGTTATAACCGTAGTTTACTGTATATAGTTAAGGTTAGCATGGTGATCTACCTTCAGTTGTTGGCGAGCTAAAACCCTTTTTTATTATGTATTGTTACATTTAGTGATATCTTTTTTATGATTGTATGCTAGTTTTATATTAATCTGTGATATTCTATTTTTTTACTGTCCATCGATGACAGATTTATATCTAATCTAAATTTATGGCTGAAATATTGCCGATGTGACGTTAAATTTAAACTCACTCACTGTAGTTAAGGTGGGTAAATGAGTGAAAGGGATTTGTCTTTTTGATGTTTATTGAATGAATTCTTGGTCAAGTTACCCTGTTTTGACTTTGCCAATCCGAACAGATATTGCGATATTGCGATATTGCGATATATGCATAAAGAAACAGAACAGGAGAGCACAGTTGGCACACATGGGAATGTTTACTTCCTGTCTAAATGCATTACTTCCACTGGGTTCTGAAAAAAGGCCTCATGGATCAATAACTCTCTTTCAGCATAGACGGCGATAGAATATGTTTAGTTAAGTCACCTTCAGCACACAGGGTAATCGAATATGTTGAGTAGCTCACTATCAGTGCAGACGGTTATAGAATATGTTGACTAACTCACTTTCAGCGCAGAGGACCATAGAATACGTTGAGTAACTCACTTCAGCGCAGAGGGTCATAAAATATGAGTTACTCAACATATTCTATGACCCTCTGTGCTGAAGGTGTGTTGCTTACTCTAGCCTTACTCTATCCACAAACATCTTATACAAAATGTCTAAAGCTCAGTGATTGAATGAGTGAATAAAGTTTTACGCCGCTTTAAGCAATATTCCAGCAATATCACGGCGGGGACACCGGATATGGGCTTCACACATTGTAGCCATGAGGGGAATCGAACCCGGGTCTTCGGCGTGACGAGCAAGCTCAGTGAAACTAAAACATTGACTTGTCAAATTAATGTATATATGACAATGCACATGTTCCTAGCCTTGCTCCAAGTCTGTGCTTGAATGATAAGTGCAAGGAGGTACAATTATAGTATTTCTATCCTGCTAGGCAAGTCTTGATAAGCGGATAACACAGGACGCTAGTAATTTGTAGGGGCAACTTATTATATGTATTTTTATATATATATATATAAATATATCTATATATATATATTTATATATATATATATATATATGTGTGTGTGTGTGTGTGTGTGTGTGTGTGTGTGTGTGTGTGTGTGTGTGTGTGTGTGTGTGGCTGCTTGTACTAGTCCTAACACTTTTTTAACGGCTTTTGTTATGACGCGACCGGAGATCAAACCCCGGACCTTCCGTGCTCTACCACTAGAACACAGAGGCGGTATCCATTGATGACGATCGAGTATTGAAATACTGACAGACACGCAAAAGAAAGTCCACAAAAGTTGTTTTGATGGAAACGATGTTATCATGACCATAAAAAAACTGGCGATGGCTTTGACTTTGGCTCACTCGAATCTGTTAAAGTGGAATTAAATCGATCCCTACTCGGGATTTCACCATTACTTACGTCCATCAGTCTCGTGACGTTGTGTGGGGTCAGAGACTCACGTGCTGATACCAGCTTAACACCCTTCCATGAACGGATCACGGGTGGCCCAGTCGTCTAAGGCGTATTAAGGATATCATCAGTGGACATGTTCTAGATGAAATTAACACTCTGAATGCCAGTGTACATGGTACAAAACAACTGCAAAACTATACTACAACTGCTCAGACACGTGAAACAAGCACAGAGTGAGCTGTGGAAAATGACGAGGTCAGTTGACTATATATAGACAAAAGCGACAAAACACTTTTCCACATTCATAAGAAATATATGCACATGAGCATGCGTGTGTTTATGAATCACTAATTAATACTGATGATACCAGGTCTTCGCAAAAAAGGTGAGAGTTTCCTTGCGCCACCGGTGGCTCCCGTCACATGATACGTCAACGCCAGAGAATAACCAGTCTCGATTATCCGACGAAACAAATTCCATTGGGCGTAAAATGCAAAATAATGGTGAAATTTATTTGTATGGATCACTGAAATTCAGCGATGACACCTGGTGTTCGCGAAAAAACACACTGATACACCGATTACAAGGAAACACAACCAAAGACGCACTATTTACAAGAATACAGACCATGCCGAGGCTGTGCGTGCAGTTACAGACCATCATAGTTTATGCAGGGGACCTGTCGAATGAGTCATTGTTGTCACAAACAACAAACTGTTAGGTTGCGTTCATATAAATAAACATATTTTATTTAAGAAATAAAAACGACGAGAGGGAACTGTTTATCGTTCCAAAAACACTTTATTCTCCCTGCAGCGTTTTGTAGTACGATAACCATCGACCACGAGTCCATTATTTCTTACATGAGATATCAATATTATGTACAGCCTCGTTACTAAAAACGTACAAGCCTTTAAAGTATTTATTCTTCCCCGCCCTAAAGGCATTATTTGACTCATCAGCGGAATGGTTTGGGTCAGACTGATCCGAATGGACAAGCGGTTTTACTTCTGTTTAGTTGTATGGATGAATTGTTATGTAACATCTGAACAGATTATCAGGCGACTATGCTTGTCGTAAGAGGCGACAAACGGGATCGGGTGGTCAGGCTTTGGTTGGTGCATGGCATCGACCCCAATTCCGTGGATCGATGCTCATGCTGTTAATCACTGGATTGTCTGGTCCAGACTGGATTATTTACAGACCGCCGTCATATAGCTGGAATATTGCTGAGTGCGGCGTTAATCAACCAACCAACCAACACTTTTATGAAACCAGTCAAATCGAAAGTTGAAATCACACAGACTTCTGTGCAAAAAACCTTTAAGTTTAAAGTAGGAGATTAAGTGCGACTGTTTCATTTGAGGCTTACATTTCAAAGAAACTATCAAGAAAAATAGACTGAGGAAATCTTTATTATTAGAAGACCTACATTAGAGATGATATAGCCATCTATCTGTTGAATGATATGGCAGATGATCCGGTACAAAGCAGTTTCTATGCAAATGAACTGAAGACAAGCCTGCAGACACCATGTGGAGAGTGGCGAAAGCAGTCTCATTCAGCCTGATCTAGAAACCATTTCATACCATTACTGACTTCATTCTGTGTATTTGATGTAAGCTATCATATCATACTTCCCCTCTCTTTTCACAGTGTGATACAGCTTATTGGGCCCGGAAAAGGAGGCTGGGTGTATTGGATTAAAAAAAATATCAGACGTATAAGCTCGCTAACCGGTGCATGGTTGCAAGTGAGTGAGTGAGTGAGTGAGTTAATATTTAACGTCACATCGGCAGTATTTCAGCCATATCGTGACGGAGGGTTATACATTAATGATACATATATTTAGACTTAATAAAAACTCAGGAATATTCCAGCTATATGACCAAGTCAGAGAGCCTGACCACCCGACCCTGTTCGTCGCCTCTTACGACAAGCATAGTCCCAATTACGGCAAGCATGGGTTGCTGAAGACCTATTCTACCCGATCCCGTTAGTCGCCTCTTACGACAAGCATAGACCCTTTTACGGTAAGCATGGGTTGCTGAAGACCTATTCTACCCGATCCCGTTAGTCGCCTCTTACGACAAGCATAGTCGCTTTTACGGCAAGTATGGGTTGCTGAAGACCTATTCTACCCCGGATCTTCACGGGTCGACTCATAAAGAGGAAGAGGCTTTAATGCTTAATGTTGCATAGAGGTCAATGTTAAAACCAATTTTGAAATACCTCTGTAATAAAGAAAATAAGTTTTAAAAGATCCCAATAGCATTTTGCCCCAAATTGCCTGAAAATGAGACTTCATTTAAAAATGTATATTAATGCCTGGATGACATAAGCATTGTGTCGAGCTTACAGTCAAAATTTCCAAATGGGAAATACCCACTCTCCTATGGTTGAAGCTACACGATTCCCGGAAAGCCCACTTCACAACGCCCACGGGGAAGTTGTCATGC